TTTTTTAGAAAAAAATAATAAAAATTTAGATTAAGATAAATTTTTTGTCATTTCCGTTAGAGGAAAAGGGTATATGTGAGTCATTTGTTTACAAGCAGGGGTATATATGAGTCACTTTCATCATAACAAGGGGTATATCAGCTCTAAATGACAAAGTTGAGGGGTATATTAGACCCTTTTCCCTTTTAAAAATAATTTGTAATTTTTTTATTAGTTTGTTTGAGGGAGAGTGTGGTTTGGGAATAGGGATAAAAATATATTTGAAATTTGAAAATATTTTAATTTTGTTTTTTTTTGTGTATATGGGGAGAGTCGGGTCGTAATAAGAAAGAAAGTAAAGGATGAAGTGATGTTTGGAAAATGTTTTCCTTACCTTAAATTTGAGGAAATTGAATTGAATTGAAAAACATTTTTCAAAGATTTAAGCCAACCAAACATCAGAAAACTCATACCAAACACACTGCGTATTAATCGCAAAATTGTGGTATGAAACAGACCACAACAGGGGATGATTAAACTTGACACAGATGGAAGTTAACACTAGGCATGGCCAGTGGCAACACTGGAGAGTTCAGCTTTGCGTTTGCTATTCCCATTCTGTGTAAAGATCATAATGTTGTTGAATGAGGGAAGCAAACGCAAAATTCAACTCTCCAGTGTTGATGATGAAGAATAGAACCTCTCAAAACCTCGACCTGAAGAATAAGACTGATGATTTGATAAGAAATGCTGATTTTTGCTTCGCTCATTGCTACAGAGAACCAAAACAGTGGTCGATCATCTATCTAAGCCAATTATTTTTGTAAGGTAATTTGTATATTCTCCTTCTTTCTGGATTGCCTTACGGTAATCTCTGATGTATATTTGGGGTTAAGTCCGAGTCCCCTTTTGACTAAGTTTTGATCAGTATTCTAATTCCCTTTTTCTTCTGAAAAATGTTCTGATTCGGTCAAGATGTTGCGTGAATCGTGCTCTCCAAGTCATATTGTCAGCATGAGATACTTGGAGCGGGTGGAAGGACCAAAACGTTGCATCAGATGATGCAGTTAAGCGTGTATTCAAGGGAAAATGGTCTAAAACTCGTGGAAGGACACCAAGACTGTCATGAGGACACTACGAAAAGCTGAATGCCTCTGTATGTTAGTACATTTGTGCAGAAATGCGATGAGGTTAGAACAGACCGAACTCACGGCAATCTTCTTCAGCTTTAAATGATGGAATCCCCACCGAAAATGGAGGCCTTAGTACTGCTAAAAATGAGTTTGCGTATTAGCAATGATTCAGGGGAAGCACATACAGAACTATTATATACTATGATCGCGATACCTTCCATTAACTTGACTAATCCAGATTTGTGTAGTGTAAGGCTCGTTAAAGCCTAAAGGGAAAACGCGAGTTTCCCTCGGTTCGATCCAATCCATCCCAGTTAACTCCTCAGTCTCTAGCTTTAGTGACCAAACAACATCCAGGACAAGGGAGTCAACAATTAACTATTGTTTCAATATTGATCAAAAAAATCTTTGTTTTTTGCCTGTTTGCTAAGTATACCACACACTAAAAAAAATTTAAACTCATATAGAAATGAAAGAGGAGTCAAGAAGATAATGAGCATCAATAAGTACAAGAAATTTCATCCTAGCTCATTTTACATCACCAATTAGCACAAACAAGAAATCCTAAACCTTAAACCCCTAAAAACAGAACTATCGGGGCAAAATCTGCGCAACTATCACTGTAATGTCATCACGCTTGCCACCAGGACGATATATCTGAGCTTTGGAGCACTCTTCAGCATAAGGTGTATATACAGTTTTACTTTCTGATTTCTGCAGGGCATATTCTGCAATCTTCTGTGCTAACATCTTCGAAAACGTTTCCAGTTTGTGCAAATCCCCTACCCCGTCGTGTACTAATTTCTCCAACTCATGGTTGCGAACATTATCGAACAGTCCATCTGTAGCCATCACTATCACATCCCCTATTCTTACTGTAGCATTAATTTCTTGTGCCACACTTGGATCATCTAATTCAACACCATTCCCTAACTGAAAGGGATAATTGAACCCTCTTTGCTGAATTTCCGATTTGTAAACTATGACCCCGTCTCTTATAACAACAAACCTGCTATCTCCAACATTGGCCGCGTGTATAGTATCACACGATAAAGTCAAAATACAAGCTGTTGACGAACCTTGACATTTTGTGTTCAAATAAGCTTCGTTGAGAACTTCCATTGGGTCAATTTTGTTCCTTTGATCTTTCTGCTTCTGTATCGATAGCTCAGCATTTCTAACCAACTGTCTCGAATACTCTCCAGGATCGATACCCTTTCTTGCCCAACTACCGACGCCATCTGCTACACCTATGGTTTCTTCCTCTCCGCAAATAAAATGTGCATCTTCCCCAAGAGGCGCTTTGTCAGATCGTGGTATGTAAAACGAGCCAGCCGCCATCTTCATCCTGAAATTACCATTCGGAAAACTTAAAACGTTATTAGTACTCTCACGGCGAAAGCTTAGATCCTTGTCTACATCCATCTCATCCATAGCCACTTGAGAAACTAGTAAAGAAGTGACAGACAAATTTATATGAGCGGGATTCAAAGAAAAAAAGTAGCAGAGCAATATCGCGCTTAGGATTTGAACTTGTTACCTAAAGCAATTATTGAATTTCCTTTTAATTGACAGATTTCTTCATATTAGGAGAATTCACTAGTTCATATAATATAATGAAAAGAAATAAAACATTTTCCATAATCGCGCAAAATGACAAAACATCTTATGGACACTAAATATCACCTGAAGATACAAGGTAATCTCTCAGTTTCAATTTGTTTTGACCAATTTAACTTTGCACAGAATTTAAGAAAATAAAAGACTTTTGAATTGTATGGTATAAAAATAAAGATACTTCAAATTTACTAAAATGTCCATTAGTTTTGTGGTCTGAAACATGATATATGGAAAGTTAAAACTTAAAAAGGGGAAATAATCACTTTTTTAAAAGGACTAAAAAGGAAGGCGGGTCAAACTAATTGACAGATAGCATTTGGGTGTGAATTTCAGTTGAAACATCCTACCCAACTGGTCCAAATAAACAGGCCCAAAACTCAATGTAAGCAAACCACCGGTCTATTCCCCAACAAATGTGGGACTCTAACACCCCGTCCACGTCCAGACCCAACTTGAGCGTGGATTGAAAGCACAAACGAGGACGAACCTAGCTCTCGTACCATGTAATGGAGAGTAACTTATCTCATTACTCAAAGATACAATGATATAGATACATGAAGAAAATAAGCTAACTATGTTAACTAGATATTCAAATCCCTAAAATTCAGTATACCATTATATACATAATAACTATACTGTAAAAAAAATCAGAACAGAAGGGTTCAATCCAGAAACTTACGTGAGAGTCATACTGCACTTGAGCTTCTGCTATGCAGCAGGGTCCATGGAAGCACCGATCACAAGGGTCTATTGTACTAGTGTTACCTTGCATTTCTGTGAGAGGCTATTTTCAATGGTTGAACCCGTGACCTCCTAGTCACATGGCAACAATTTTTCCGGTTATTCCAAGGCTCCCCTTCTCACATGAGAGTGTGTATATTCAAAACATGGTGGTTGGTTTAGTTAGGGAAAGCTACATATATACCAAAGTTTAACAATGAAAGGAAGGTATCGGAATAAGCACCGGTTCATATATAACAGATTCGATAAACTTGCCAGAAAGAACGATGTATAGACTCAACGCAATGGAGAAAGGTGAACTTCTTGGTACATAGCATTTTACCCCCTTAGTGCAACTAGCTGGCGCAAATCCGGATTAGTCTAGCTAGTGGGGTTAGGGATATCAGATAGCTACATAACTGTCTTGCAAATATCCCCTAAAACAAAGACATGCTCAAAAGTTCTTTTTTTTTGTCATCGCTGTCTGCAATAAGTACACTTTGAGACAAGAATATGACCAAAGTTCAATATTATCTTCATCCCTTTCCTGTTAATTTACGCTCCAATCTCCACACTTAAAGAAGATGTTTGTCACTCAACTTGATTTAATTGAAAGGAGGAGAGAATTAAAAAGAATCTCTGACTCCGAGTTCAGAGTAACTTGATAGTCTGGGAACAAAAACATGCTAGTGATCATATCTGTAATCTTGACTTAGCATTCGCAACAGCCACAAACACTTCATAGAGCTCAATGAGGACTATGCAAGATTGTTAATATGCAAAACAGTTACAAACCTGGAAACTAAACAAGTGAACTGAAACATGATTCAAGAAATTTTTTTACTAAAGCTGAGATAGTTACTAGAGGACCTAAATAGAAGAACAAGTTAGTAGCACTGTCTGAGTGTCTTTGAGTAGTAGGCAATAAAGAAGAATATATAACTTCATGAACTAAACAAAAACTTTGTAAGAGAAGTATTAGCACTATAGTTTAGCTTAATCTTGTTTTCACTTTGTCCTGAATATTGGAACCTTTCCAGCATTGATGTTTTCAAGGTTTCTAATCCTCCTCTCAAGTTTCACAATATCGATCATATCATTTGAACCACTCCCTTTCTCATGGTTATTAATGTTTCCCATGGCCATATTGCCTTCAGTTATTTTGGTACACGTTGCTATTACCTTCTGTGTTACCACTGAAGCTTCGCTCATTTGTAAGGTTTTAGCTGAATTAGTACTCAAAAGTCCTGCATTTGGACCGTCACTTGCAAGTGCAATACCATCAGTCAAGTTGAGCTTGCAGCCACCTTTGTCATTGTTATTCTTGCTCTCTAGTGGCACCATTTCCTTAACTACATATGGCCCATCTCCATCTTCATCCGACTTTCCATTTGAAGCCTCAAATTTATCGCTTATTGGTTTCGATTCCACCAGAATCTCCCTTGCTCTGGCAGTCCCATCATTTGAAGCTGAAGAAGATTGGCTTTGCATGCTAAGGAAGAGTTTCTGATTATTACCAGGTACAACAACTTCTTTCTTCATGAGTTTCCTCTTGCGTAAAGATACAGAAATTGGAATATTGTCATCATCTGATGATGATGATTCTATAACTATCATATCACATTTCTGCAAAAAACCACAACACACAGAGGCATTCATCTTTTCGTGCTGAATTGCAACCTCAGGTACAACATTTTGGTTCTTCCACCATTCCAAGTATCGTCTGCTGACATCTGACTCGATGAACCTAGAAGGTATATAGAGCTTGACATCTTTAATTGGTCTGTTATAATTAGTCCAAGCAATTTTCGGGATATAATCACTAGCATGATTCACACAATCAGGCACATCTTGATCAAATCCAAATTGCATTGATACTCTATGTGGATTATATTGTTCAACACAATCCATTCCAACTAGTTCAGAAGCTCGAACAAGTCGAGCAAAAGTCATGATTTCTCTTCCAATATTTGGTCCAACCACCACATATTCATCCCTCTCCTTGTAAAATCTGCTGATGTCCCAATTCTTCACAATATCAATGGCATAAGGACGCCACAGAAAACATTCAGCAGCGGAATCTATTCCACTTCTATGATCCACATGATTTAGTTTTTTCGCCTTATGCCATCTAGCTACTCTTGGCTCCCCAGTGTAAATGATACTACTAGGCTTAGGCTGCAAATTCGTAAATCTCTCCCAAGCCCATAGCTGAATAAACTGAAAAGGAGCCCGAAGGTTCGGATTCAACTCATCTTCTATACATCTAGAATCACTCGGCGAATGGTTCTTAGCTGAAGATACAATAAACTGTTTAAGCAAACTCATATCCCTATAAATACTAGCTAAAACAGCAGGGGCAAGTGCTATTGGAATTCCTTGAGAAAGATAAATTGCAATAGAGAAAAGAGCTCTGTCCACTTTCAGAAAGCTTCTAGCAGGAAGCACATACCTTGACAACCAAAGGGTTAAAAATGCAACATGCTCCAAATGATCACCTCTTCCTGCAAAATGCTCCATCCAGGCACGGTGACGAACATTCGTTTTACGCACTCTAATATCTTTATGAACCTCAGTAAGAGCTTTTTCAATGTCAACAGCATCTTTGGTCTTAACAGGTTTCAACACAGAGTGTCCTAAAACAGAGAAACCACCTAATACCACCATATCCTCCAATGTAATAGTAGCTTCTCCCCATGGTAAAATGAATGTATTAGTCTCCAAACACCATCTCTCAGCTAAAGCAAGAATCAAATCACTATGCTTATAAATCATAAATGTTGAACCTATAATACCTTCAAAGACTCCAGCTTTCTTCCATATCTCTTGGTGTAAAGGCTTTAACTTATTAACCCATTTAGACCATCCCTTCATATATGAAGAACCACCCTTAAACTGAACTTTTGGTGATGAACAAGAAATTTTGAGTCTTGAAGGGAGAAAAGGGAGTTCTTTGGTTGTTGGTTTAAGAAAATGAGCAACTCTAAATATGGGTTTCACTTCTTCATCAATAGATGAAACCATAACCTCCTCCATTTCCTCCATGATTTCAACTTCTGAACAATCCACCATTCTTGATTTTGAAAAAAAATTTGTATTTTTTCTCTTTTTACATCAGGGTTTTCAAGAATACAGAAGGAAAAAACAACCCATTCTTGTGTATTGAATCATACTAAAAGAATGGGACAAAGTTTCTGATTCTTTTTTTTAGTCTGTACTATTTTTTTCAGTACTGAGTGAGAAAAACAAACAAATATGGTCCAGCTCAAAATTCTATTTGTAGGCAAAAACTAACATATAGCTGCATTTGTAACTTTTAGCTGGACATGCCAAAAGTTGAAAACAAACAAGCTTACCAAAATGGGTTATGGCGCACTGGTTTAAGTGTTTCAACCTTAACCAGACATATCGCTTTCGAGCCTTGGATACAGATAAAATTCTGTTGGGAGGTCATCCTCAAATAGGCTTTGCAATGTTGATCCGGACTAAGTCAAAGCTCCAATGTGGGCTTCAAACACCGGTGGAAACTAAAAAAAAAAAAACAAGCAATAAGTTTCTTAAAGAATGTTAAGTCTAGAAATTTATGATACCTAAGATATTATAAATAAGATGATCAATTCGACTGATTTATTATTTATTCGTGTTAATGACTATCAAAATCATTTATGATGATATATGACATACAAAAGGTATTATTAGAACTTATGCTCATTTATTTCAATATTAATAGATGATAAAACAATTTCTTTCTTCCAAAAAATAATTAAAGGAATTTTCAAAAAAAATATTTTTGTAGTGTTCAAAAAAATTTGGAGGCAACGCAAATTGTTTGATTTCTAAATTAAATAAAATATTTCTCACCTAAAATTCATCATAAAAAGAAGAGATAAGTATTAAAATATTTCTAAACTTAATGTGAATTATTACTTTAGTCACTTAAATTTTGTTTGATCTTCGCGTTAAATTGATGTTCATACTTTATAAGTTATTTTTATTGATAATGTATACTTGTTCTTAAACAATTCAATTATAAGTATTCCAAAGTGGATAAAAACAAGAATATAAAGGAATAATAAAGTATTTAATGAACTTTTTAGAAAAATGAATTATGGGAATATTAATTTTGTTTAAGCTTCCAAAGAGAAATTATGTGAACACTAAGCATGATGATGATATTAATTATAGGGGTAAAATGGAAAAAGATTGATTAATTTAATCTTGATTTAGTAAATGATCATCTAGTTTGAGACATGTATTTTTATCAATTAATATATATTGGCCAGAAGGAATATATGTATCACAATTTACTAGATACATATACTATAAATTCGTAAAAAAATTTTAATAAACTAATTAAGAGATAATATTAAAAGACTAAACATAAAGAATAATATCCTTGTGAAAGGAATTAATTCCATCAAAGGGAAACTTGTAGCCTCATTTTCATAACAGAAAAGTGTTTGGTAAGATTTTAAAAGGTGACTTGGCCTCGATTAATAACTAAAAACTTCAACTTTGAAATATATATATATATATATATATATATATACCTCTTAACTAAAAAAGAGAGATAATTTTTTAAATAAGATTTAAAAAATCAAAATGAAATGAGTAATTACAAAGAAAACTTGCTATAAACTCTACTTTTAAATGAGAAGATGAAATTCATCACCAAAGGAGAGAAATAATTATCACAACTTTGTAAGAAATGTATTTTAAAAAAAATGATTTATTAGACATCATTTTTTCAAGTTACTTATAAGTAGAAAAAAGAAAAAGAGTGTTTTGTAATAAACTAAATAAGAATATAAGATCACTTTAGACTTATCGATGCTATCACTTGTTCACTTTATACTTTATACGCCTCTTAAGAAATAATAATTAATTTGAGTATTTTACTATAAAACACATATTAATTGCTATTACGTTGTTCCCTTCTACTCTATTTTCTTCTTCTGAATTTGTTGTACTTGAGCCGATAATTTTTCGGAAACAACCATGTTTTGGGGTTCCTTGGGCTGAAGTTTTGGGCCAAATGGGTCAAGAAATTTGGACCAAAATTGAAATTGATTTGGGCCTCTGGGTCATAACTTGGTCAACATTTGTGGCTACTTTTGTACCTAATTTGGGCCAGATTTAGTGTCACTTTATTGGGCCAACTTTGATCTTCATTTGGGCCACCATTAAGTCCAGTAATCCATGTAGGTATTGGCCATAATACGACCCTAAAATGATACAACAAAACATATTTAAACACTTTTATTAAATATTTAAGATCAAATAATACGGTAACAATGATTTACATTCTTGACTTCTTGGTAAAGAATTAAAGTATTTCTTTAGGAACATATTTACGAAATAAATATAGTAATAGTAGTATATTTTGAGGTGATATTTAAAAGGAAAAAAATAACTGAATCAAAACTGATACCAAAAAGAAACCGATATGAATGAGATGGTTTTAAAAAGTCTAGTTTTGGTAATAAATTACCAAAGAAATTGGAACGGTATAATTTTTTTTAAAAAAATAAACATTGAACCGTACTATTGACATCTCTACATGTAGG